ACAATTGTAAATGTAATCCACCAATTTAATAAAATGAATCAATTACTAACATGTTTCCTGTTATTTACACTAGCTTGGGCAAAAGTTATTGCAGAACCACCAGAGTAGGAGAAAAATGGGCCAACTCCCTAAATTATTCTTTTAATATTAGTTATATGATTATAGGCTAATTTCTAAACTTTTTATCATATTTGCTAAGCAAACTTTTTATCATGTCTGCCAAATATGAGTATTAGACTAAATCAGCAGTTATTTTTCAATTTTTAATTTTAATTGCCTTTTAACATATTCAATGTGATGTACCGATACTTATCTGAGAACATAATGCTTTAAAGTATTTCATGAACAAATTAATCATTATAACAAAGAAGGTAGTGAGGGAGTCAGTATAAAAAAAGCTTAAGCTGATGAAACATTCAGTACCTCAAATTAAAACTTAAGCAGCTGATATTTTAATACAATGACTTATTAGTATCTTTGATATATTAATGTAGTTGTGACCTTAAACAGGACAGTCAGTGTTTCTCACATGAATCTAGCCTCAAAGAACTGTATTTTAATTTGGAATCTGACATCGTCTCATAGAATAAAAAACACTGGAAAGATTCTACCTACATTATGTTGGGAGGTCTTCAATGGTATGATGACAATTTTTATCTGGATATTTTTAAAACTACATCTCTAGAAGTTGATACACTTGTTTCAGCAATTGTTTGAATGATGAATTCTTAGAGGATATCACAAACTGGGAATACAGACATAAATTAGGCTTCACTCCACATTCCAGAGCCTCACAGTCAATGAACGAAGCAGCCATGTTAATAGATAATTATTGATGGCACACAAAACAAAAAGATAAATAAGAGTATATCTTAACAGCCCAGAGAAGGTACATTTTCAAAATGATCAGAAAAGACTTTTATATCAAACTTCATTTTTGGGCCTAACACTGTAGCCTAGTGGCTAAAGTCCTTGCCTTGCACACGCTGGGTTCTAATCCCAGCTGCCCTGCTTCCATTCCAGCTCCCTGCTTGCGGCCTTGGAAAGCAGTTGAGGACGGCCCAAAGCCTTGAGACCCTGCACCTGTGTGGGAGACCCAGAAGAAGCTCCTCGCTGCTGGTTTAGGATTAGCTTAGTTCTGGCCGTTGTGACCATTTGGGGAGTGAATCAACCGATAGAAGATCCCTGTCTCTCCTCTTCTCTCTGTATATCTGACTTTTCAGTAATAAATAAATAAATCTTCAAAAAAATCTCTATTTAGCATTTTTGCACTTTTCTTCTACCTTGTATGATTTAAAATACCAGATTAAAAGATCAGGGCAAGTCAACAGAGGACTAATTTGTCTGTGAGCTCAATAATAGTAATTTTCTTTTTGCTGAGTAAAAGGCTATTATCTTAGAGCAGTTCTTGCTTGCCCTAGTTGAAATATGTGCAGCTGACCTGAGCATCTAGTAATGAGCAAGTTACTAGAGATGGTAACGCATCTAGTACCGGGAAAGCCCATAGCTAGGGTCTGCCTCATGCAAGCAATGTTCTCAGATTAAAGTTTGCAATGCTAGTTGGCATTTTGGTGTGTTGATTGCCCATGGCTCCCCTAAAGCATATTCAATCAACTGAACTCTGTTCTCTGTGTCATCGGTTCACTCTGCAGCATTCTGTTACGACCCATGACAACGGACTCAACTGACAATTTCTCAAGACAGAAAGGATATAAGAAATAAGAATATTAAAGCAAATGATAATTTGTTTTACAAAGGAATTTAAAATTAACAGATAATTACATAATTACAGTATTTAAGATCTCCCACTTTAAAAGGATATAGATTAAGATTCATTTCTTGAATACTGTTTTTTATAAGACTTCCATATGTATTTATAATAAAAGAAAAATTTCTACCTCTGCTAACAGAAGAATTCTCATTATGATCTTAGGGCTATGTAATTTACATAAGTGACTGAGTTGGTTTTTCTTCCATTAAATAAATCTTTCAAAGTTATTTTATATAACTCTCCAAAGCTGAATCTAAAAGATGGTTGTAATGCATTATTTGATCCACTTTTTAAACTACAGCTAGTATCACATTTTAACATTTTGGTATTGCTTTCTTTGAATAAAACAGAGCGAACAGACAAATATGAACTTCACACTAGTCGGTCGTTAAAAGGGGTTTATTTATTTATTTATAATATTTGAGTTGGTGGGGAGAGAAGTGGTGAAGTGGAGACAATCTAAAACCCTGCTGGCATCCCATTACGTAATGCAGGAGTCCAAGGTTGCATCTTAATTGCTACACTAAATAACCCCTTACCAAATCGCCAGCTTTCAATGTTCATGTTAGTTGTTTGTTTTCTTAGGTTTCACATCTAATAGATCATTTTAAGACAGTGTTTCTCAAACGTTAACGCATAAACGAATCAAATAACAATGAGGGGGGCTTCCATTGTGCTCAGTGGGCTAAGCTGCTACCTGCAATTCCTGCATACCACTCAAGCACTGGTTTGCACTCTTAGCTGTTCCACTTCTAATTCATGTCCCTGCTAATGCAGAAGATGGCTCAAGTACTTGCATGCTTGCCATCTACATGGGAGAGTCACAGGGAGTTCCAAGCACCCAGCTAGGCACCTGCTGTGTCCACCTGTGGGGTGAAAGAGTGGATGGAAAACCTGTCCTTCGCTTTCTTTCTGCAACTCTACTTTTCAAATGTATAAAATAAATGCTTTTTTTCTCCAGAGGAATCACATTGAGGGCTCATTTAAACCTGCCAGGAAGAGGGATACCATTTTCCCCTTACAGCATCCCAGTTTCTGATTCTGTAAATTTGGGGTGGAAATAAAAATTTTCATTTCCAACAAGTTTTCAGGTGATGCAAATGCCACTGGTTCATGGGTGACACATTGAGAATCACTGCTTCCATAAATCCCAATTTAGCAGATGCAGAGCTTGGTTTTTCTACTGGTCTGTGGTTCGTTAGACAGACTCCAATGTGGATCCTCAAGGGGAAAAGGGGAGTTTGTGATGCCAATATTTTCCAAACCGAAGTCCCCTTTGTGCCGATTCTGTTCAGATCATTAATTATACAGCTAGATCATATTTGAATTTCTTCCCTTTAGTCAATATCTCCTATTTTCCCAATAATTCAGTCCCCATCTTTCTTTTCTTTTTGTTTTTTAATAAAAAAGAGAGACAGCTCCAAAGAGAAAACCACACTTCTCTTGCCCCCTACTGCTCAATGCCACCTTCCTCTCTATCTTTTCAATAGTTTTTGCAGTCACGATTTTAATCTACTTTACACTCACAGTCTTAATTTTCCACTAATCAAAACATTCAACAAGTGAAAAGATCACAAGACCACATCTCCACTAGAGTAAAAACATAGGCTACACACATCAATTCGATCCCAAATTGACCATGTGATGGCTACCTTTTGGAAGGGTGTTTTATATTAGCTGCTGTATATCTGAGAAAGCATGATGTTTGTCTCTTTGAATCCAGCTTATTTCCATAAGCCTGTTTTCAGTTGCATCTATCCTATCACGATATCCTTACTGCACTGTGACTCTTTCTTGACCCCCTTTGCCCTCTGCCCAGGTGGACCCTGTTGCTGTCTGTAGCCTATATTCAGTCTCAAATTCATTCACTGCACAAGCATCAGTTAAAGGCTCAACATCTAATGAATATGACAGAAATTCTGCACTCTGGTCCTATATTATAAAGGGGAACACCAAAAATAAGCACATTACGGATGTATGCTACCCACCAAGGTGATGAATCGGAGACTAAAATAATGCAACTGATACGTAAAAAAGGTTAACTGGGAAGAAGTTTATCTGAGTTACCCTGGATGCTATTTTTCAAAAAGGAAGTAGGGACATACATGAAAAGATGAACATAACCAGAAAGAATGTGGAAGGGCAGTCAAGTCATAATATACATCAGTTGAAAAGCTCTGAGATGGAAGTAAACCCAGATGGCCCACAGAGCAGAAATAAATTTTGGGGGATGAAATTAGTAAGGGATTAAAACAGGGCAAATTCTCGAAGAAATTTAGGTCAAATACAGACAAAGTGTTTCACAAGCCAATTGTAATGACAGGCAACACACACAGTACCTGAGGACTATGATACACACACAAATACATATATGAAATAAGAGCTAATATTGTTCCTCTGGCCAATGGTAACATGCTAATATCACATGATACTGATGTCACTAGAGACCCATATAAGAATTTACTGTCTATCCTTTCAGGCCGGCTACACAGATGACACATTCTATTTTACACAGTTCTTATTTCTGATGCAGATAATAGTGTTTTTAACTCCCATCCTCATAGATACTGAATTAAGGAATTACCCAGGATATCGATCTATGACAGTTCTACAAATGGGCAACCTCTTATTGCTCAGTAAACTTTCTAAACATGGGAGGAAAGTCAGGTGAGGAATATAATTTATGACATCATTTTATAAAGGCAATGTTCACAGTGATGCTACTTATTATATCAGCAGAAACATTTCCAGAAAAATTATTATCAATCTTCCTCCCTCCCTCCCCTGCCCTCTCTCTCATACACACACACATTCCTTTTGAGCATTTGGGAAATTAGCCTAAAGCAAGAGTTGTTCTATGTTTTCAACATGACTACTGAGAAAACGTTTGTGTTTACTGTAGCTGATTTGAAATATGTTTTAATCTCGATGTCATTAGCCTCCAGGTAAATGTGAGGATGTTTCATTTAAAAGAAATTTTTTATCCAGGGCTCCTTTCAAAAAGGAAAAACTGATACTAAAACACCTGAAATTTAAAAAATACTCTTACCAGCCATTCAATTTTTCATTATTACAGAGTTCTTGCAAATGGAAACACCTTAGTTTTAATGTTATATTGAAACAATTATGTCTATATAACAAGTGTTTTGTGTGCTACTGTGTGTCTCTTAGGATCTTATTTATGGAATGGTTCCGTGCACACCTCATCATCAAGAGCTGATCACACTACCTGTCTGCATCCACTGCCACATCATGAACTCCTCTCTGGATGGCATCCCTTGAAGTTCCTGTATCTGGTATTCGGTTCAGGCTCCTGGTATACAGGTTCAGTCCACCATCTGTCATGTACCTAAAAAGAGTTGAAATGATCAATACAAAATTAAATGATCTCATCTATATAATTTAACCTAATAAATAGTATTCACAATTTACAATAATTTAAATGCACTACAGATTCTATTCCCTTGGAAGAACTAAAATATCATTTCATGTTTACATATTCTTTAATGTCCATTCTGCAACAAGGAACTAATTTATTATAAAACCTAATGTTCTTTATTGTTATCCATATTTTGAACATACTTAAAGAAAATGTGGTTCCTAGTAAAATAAGGGAAAGACAATTTCACCTTGGAAATACAATATTCAAAGAACTGAAGTCATAACAGCAATACAATATGACAGAATTTAAAGTACTATCAATTTATTTCATGATTAAGTATTATGGGGTTGGCACGTAGCCTCGTAACTAAAGTCTTCTCCTTGAATCTGCTGGGATCCCATTTAGGCACTGGTATGTATCCTGACTGCTCAGCTCCCTGCCTGTGGCCTGGGAAAGCAATGGAAGGCAGCCCAGAGCCCTAGGAGCCTGCACCCATGTGGAAGACCCAGAAGAAGCCCCTAGCTCCTGGCTTTGGATTGGCTCAGTTCTGGCTGTTGCAACCAATTGGGAAGTGAACCAGCAGACGGAAGGTTTTTCTATCTCGCTTCTCTGTAAATGTAACTTTCCAAAATAACTAAATAAATAAATCTTAAAAAAAATCATAATGCCATAGGAAAGCATTTGAGTCCCTGTTGCTTTACTCACAATCCAGCTCCCTGCAAAGCTATCTAGGAGAGCAACCAAATACAGTCTAATTACCTGGGCCCTGCACATACACAGGAGACCCAAATGAAGTTCAAAACTCCTATCATCAACCTAGCCCAGCCCTGGCTGGTGCTGGCATTTGGAGAGTAACAAGGATTTTCATTTCTTAAATTTTGCAAAGCAGAAAAGTTATTGTAGGGAATTCAAAAGACCAGGGGCTACAGAAGTAGCCTCTATGTTTTAAACTTGGGTTCCCAGATTGTTGGGGGAAGATTTGTTTATGTGTAATTGCAACAACAGAGAAGCATAGAAGAAAACAATTTGTAGAAAATAGTGCTATAAGGATAAGAATTTGTACATGAGGCTGTGCATTAGATTTAGCAGTTAAGACATCATCTGGGACACCTACATTCCATATCAAAAAAGTGCCTGGGTGGAGTCCTGGCTCTATTTTTGATTCCAGCTCCCCCCTCATGTGCAATCTGGGAGGATGCAAATGATACCTTTGGTACTTCAGTCCAGACAGCAACCCAGGGGGAATTGAGTGTTTCAGGTTTCTGTCTGGAACTGGCACCAGATGTTGCAGGCATTTGGAGAATGAACAAGAAGATGAGAGATATTCTTTCTCTTTCTCTCTTAGGAATAAAATAAATTTTTAATTTAACAAAATATACAAGAGAACTTGCACATGGTTACTCACCATGGCATAATTAAAACATAAATCTAGAAAATCAGCTCTAAAAACAATGAATTTAAGCACCACTTACTGCTGTCTTAGTTGAAAGGCTGCACTGCTCTCTCCACTCCCCATCTTGGAGATCTATCTACCTTCTTTATATCTCCCAACAACCACAATTATACAGGGATAGTTCTTCATTATAAGGGGTGATATTCAAGTGTTCAATATCCTACCCTGTGTTGGGATATCTCTCCTGAGAATTGCAATTATGTGGCATTTCATCATTCTCTTCTTGTGGACAAAATTAATGATAACAAAAAGTCAAGGGCTATGGGTATCTATTTTTCATCAGAACCACAAATGAATCTATCAGCAGACTATTGTATTTGGCAAAATTTCTTCAGCTGTCTTCCTTCTAAATTAATATTTCTGTGCCATGCTACCTCCTATGCTTTAGGATGGAACACTGAGGTATGCTATGTTCATAGGTACTTTGATTTCATATAACCATGTCAAATGCACATGTAACCCATTATCTATGATGGAATTTCTCAAAATACTTAGAAGCAAAATTACAATTAAGTTTTTTCATGGAAAAGAAATTAAGTTTGTTCATATGGTACTGAACCTGGCACAATGGCTCAATTGACTAATCCTTCCCTTGCAAAGCACTGGCATCCCATATGGGCACTGGTTTGTAACCTAGCTGCTCCACTTCCCATTCAACTCCCTGCTTGTACCCTGGGGAAGCAGTTGAGGACAGTCCAAAGCCTTGGGACCCTGCACCCATATGGGAAACCTGGAATAAGCTCCTGATTCTCCACTTTGAATCAGCTCAGCTCTGGCCATTGTAGTCACTTGGGGACTTCAGCAGATGGAGGATCTTTCTCTGTATCTCCTTCTCTTAGTAAATCTGAATTTCCAATAAAAATAATAAATTTTAAATAGAGAGACAAGAAATTGGCACTGTGCTATAGCCGGTAGGCCACAGCCTTCAATGCTGTGTTCCGCTAGGAATCCCTGTTCTAATGTTGGGATACCCAGAAGCAGCTCCTGGCTTAGAGCTGCCTGAACAGGACAGAACAAATTATCAACTACCCCAGCCAAGTGCTGGCAGTGAGTATCTGGACTAATGGAAACTCTAAGCTGGAGTATGTCAACTAGTAGATTCTGGAAAGATTTCATTGTGCTGGAGTGGTGAGATTGGCAGTAATTCAGAACTGTTGGACTATTGAAATCTCATGAAAAGGACCCTCAGAGTGTGTCCTACAACAGGGACACTGGGATGGGTGAGAGGTTGGGTGTGGCTTCTCCTCCTATCTCCCTCCTTGCCCCAGATGCAGGAAGGAAAAAAAAAGAATGTGGAAATGGTGATCTCACCCACTTTCCTGTATCCCTGTTCCCTTACCACCCTAGTCAACTATGTAAAAATTATCAAAAATAAAAACTAAAACTTAAAAAAAGATCTCCCTCCTCCTCTCTCTTGTGTCCTCACTTCCCAACATCCTGTCCATCCCCTAGGAATGTCTGCCTTTCAAATAATGACTTCTTAAAAAATGAGCCCATATGCTTATCAATAAAATATATACATATATACATATATATATGCAAAACTAAGTAAGAAAGTGCATGCTTTTTCATACAGCAACAATGAGCTAACACCAATTTTCTTTATACCTGACTCCAATGATAGAATAGTGCTAGTTTCTTCAAATATCCTTTTTTTTTTTTTTTTTTTTGCGCAGGGAGCTATCAGAAATCTTTTTTTTTTTTATTTTTTTATTTTTTTTTTTTTATTGTTGCTTACACTGTATTATGTAGTACAGTTTTATAGGCGCTGGGGATTCCCCCCACCCCTCCCCATACCCCTCCCCCCATGGTGGATTCCTCCACCTTGTTGCATAACCATAGTTCAAGTTCAGTTGAGATTCATTGCTTGAAAACACATGCCTAGCATAAAGTTCAGCGTCTTATTGTCCAGATAAGTTCAGTGGCCTCCTGGGGAGACCTTCTATGGTCTGAAGATAGGTCTAACAGAGTAAAGATCCGGTCGGTTAAAAGCCCCAACAAGGCCTCAGTTTCAATATACAACATTATGGAATTAATTGACATAGTAATGGGTAAACAATATGTTAAGAATAATGCGAGTTCCATTCTTCGAAACATCTGGGTTGAGACAAATATCCTTTTAAGTTCTCCCCAGTCACACCCCAGCACTACTTTCCAGGGGTGTCCAATGTGATGAATTTTATGTAATCATTAATCATTACTTTCTTGATGATTTTACCAAATGCACTTGTATCTACAAAACTATAGGGCTTGTATTGCATGTGTTTTAACAGTAAATAAAATAAATACGTATTTTGTGATTTCTTTATCTTAAAATCACACTTATCATAAATTATCTTACTTGCGGTATAATACTGTATCATACCCAACAATCTTACCCCTCCAATTAATAACTATGATTTATTAATTTCCGTGACTATTATGAACATTTGATGTGTTGTTAGAACGCCACCATTAACATTTATGCACACAGACAAAATTTTACCTTGTACACATGGACAAAAGGTTATCTAAGGTCTGTTTTGGGTTGGGAAATCCTGAGTCATAAGAGAAACACAGATGTATTCAATTTTCCTAATCAACATCAAATATTTCTGAAAAGCATTTCAGAACTTAAACTCCAACTCTGTGCCCATGGATGTAGTTTCATTATGGGATAATTTTGCCAGTATTTGCGCTTTTGTGAAGTGGTGGATGGGCAATGACATGGTAATTTTAGCTTTAAATTATAAATTCTGTATAACCAATCAGGCTAGTAATATCTTCATTTTTTTCTATAAGTCATTTATGTTTTGTTTGTAACATTTATGTTTGTGTTTTAATGCCCTTTGCTCATATTTGCCAAGTTATCACCATTTTTTGCTTACTGTATTGTTCTTTAATTTTTCACTAACAGTAATCCTTTCTTGATAACAAGCATTGTATTAACTTGTGATTTATATGAAATAAATACTTTTGCTGAATGATTAGAATTTTTCTGAGGAAACAGCTAAATTTAAAAAACATGTTTTGTATAGTCCTACATACATGGTAGCTTGATTTTTGAGATGTTAGAATCTGTTCCCAAGTTCAATCAAAACCTACTCTTTTCTCTACATGCTACTGAGTTTGACTCTACACCCATATCTTTTCCCTCCATGTGGACTATGGCTTCATTCTCTTCAGCCATTGCCATCAATTCTTCCTGGCTATTCAACTGCAGAAAACATCTTTCAGCAATGATTTTATATCTTCACTTTGTTCAAGTGTCACTTTTAGTCAGCATGGTTGGCTATCCTGGTTCATCTGTTCACACTACTTCTAGTTACTCACCCTCCATGTTTTCTTATATAAACACTGATACCATGCTGCTTCTTGAGCCCTTGACTGTTTTTCCTCAATTTCTTACACTTTGTGAATGAATCATGACACTCTTCCTGCCTTATATCATGCACTTCTATCATATTTGCCATACAGTTTAGACTTATGTTTTCATATTTACAACCTTTTCCTCTGCTGCACGTTACAACTGGAT